GGAAGTATTTATGATTTGCTCCATGAAGTTTGGGCTCTCTGAGTTGTGATGTTAAGATCTCAGAACACTTTGCAGGCCTGGCTCTCATGTTATGAGGTCTTTAAGCATTTTTCCCACTTGTTTTCCCCCCATTAACAGCATGTCTTTTAGGCAGAACCTCTAGCCAGTACAAGTGTCACCTGCATTGTTTGTGTTCAGGTGTCTGAATTGTTTTGGAGTTTGTCAAGTGTATGAGGTATGGTCAGATTTTCTACCTATATTCCAGGTGGTGAGGTCTCTGAGCTGTTTTAGGGTCTATATCTAGGGCATGAGGTATGTGAGTTGTCTGGAGTCAGTACCCCAGTGTGGAAGTTCCCTGAGGTGTCAAGGACTCTGTGGTTTCTGAAATTTTGGCAGGAATTTGTTACCAAAGGATGAGGTATATAAAATGTTTTGGTATTTATGTTTCATTATGTGAGTTATCTGAGCTTTTTGCCAATTTTTGGCCAGAGTATGAGGTATCTATGCTGTTTTGTGGTCTGTGTCCACAGTGTGAGATCCCTGAACCATTTTTGACTCTGTCACATGGTGTGAGGTCTCCAACTTCTCTCATGCTCAGTGTGCAATGATGTGAAGTGTCTGAGCCATCTGCAGTATGTTTACAGAGCTGAAGTCTCATTTATTTCTACAGTCAACTGGAGCTTCATGGTATAACATGCATTACCTTTATCCTTCCCCCACTTGTTGACCATTCCTCCCATTCTTTACAGTGCTAGGATGTAACCCAGTGCCTTGCACACACTAGGCAAGGACAAGCACAGACCTGTGCATGTGTGTGACTATTTCCTTAGAACATATTTAGAAGGGGAATTGTCAGGCCAAAGGAGTTATTATTCAATGAACCTCCTTTGGAGCACCTGCACACAGTAGGGGTGCTGGGAAGACACTGAGTAACTTAGAAATTCACATATCCCTTTCTTGGCATTGCTGACATTCCACTGGGGGGTGTCAGTTTTTTTTATTTTGATAAATGCTGCCACACAAATGCACACTTTCATCAGTGGTCTCAGGGGCTCTGAGGCTAGGGGTTGGGATTCTGTTTTTTTTTTTTCCTTAAGGACAACATGGTCTGGGACTGGGACAGTCCATGGGGGATTATGGGAGGCAGGAATTAAACGTGGGTGGGGGCCGGCACACTGGCGGCTCAGGAAGCTAAGGCAGGAGGATGGCGGCTTCAAAGCCAGCTTCAGCAATGGTGGGGTGCTAAGTAACTCAGTGAGATCCTGTCTCTACAATAAAATACAGCATAGGGCTGGGGATATGGCTCAGGGGTGTAGTGCCCCTGAGTTCAATCCCCAGTAGAAACAGACAAACAAATAAATAAATAAACGTGGGCGGGGATGAGGAAGGCGTCAAAGAGTCTATTTAGTTGTGTTGAGATGAACTGAAAACTGAATGATTCATGCTGCACTGACATAACAGCCATCTCTAGGTCGGATACACAAGGAAGCGTGGGTGGGGGTAATCTTTTTTAAAATATATATGATTATTTAATCATTCTTAGCTACTTTTATTATTAGTTAAGAACCTGGAATTTATCAGGCACTCAATAATTGCTGGTGCTGTTCCTTTAGGGAATAGAAGTGTTAAAAACGAGCCAGTGCAGCTCAGGAACACACTAAGGTGAGACACGGAAATGGAACAGTCCACTCTGGGAGGTACCACAGGAGAGGGGTCGCGTATTTTGGAAGATACCATTGTATGTGTGGAGACATGAAAGGGCTCCACATTCCCCCAATGAAACGACCCAAGACGAGGAGAAAATGGCGCTTCGTAGACCCGTTCTGGTCCCGAACAAACCTCACCTTCGACCTAAAGCTTCAACCTGACTGACAGCTACTACCGCCACGGTTTTACAACCACCCCTCCCACCCTCTGCCCCGGGTTGGCTCTACAGAGATTTGAATCAAAATTGCGGTTGGGGGGAACCGGAAGGGTGCACAGAGGTGATTGGCTCCAGGAGGAGTAAGGCGGGATCAGAGCCCTCCTGAGCTTCAATTGGTATCCGCGAGATTCCTACACAAAGCTCTTCCAGGGTCCCGAGGTTTACCGGAATCACTTAGGGGAAGCTCCCCCACCCCACCCCCGGCTCAGTTGCTTCCTTTCAGCGCAGGCGCTCTGGCGCCTGTTGGTATTCAAATTGCCAAGGCAGGGGTTTGGTTATTGGAGACATAGGTTCGAATCCCGACTAAGAACTTCAGATTGCAAACCTATAAAAGAAGCTGGCATTATTGGCTTGTACTCAAGGCCTGGTACAGTGTGTTTCGGGCAATACTTTTTATTCTCTTATTTTTTTATGTTTTATGTTTAATTTTTATTTATTGATTTTTTTTTTTTTTTTTTTTTTTGCAGTCCTGGGGATTGAACCCAGGAGCACTCTACCACTGATTCACACCCCTATCCCTTTTTATTTTTTGAGACAGGGTCTCACTAAGTTGTCCAAGCTAGCCTTGAACTTGAGATCCTTCTACCTCAGCCTCCCCAGTAGCTGGGATTACAGTTCTTTTTTTAAAACAACACTTAACTGCATCTTCTTATAGTGATTTTAGGACCCACTCACTTTTTTAAAAAAATGTAATTTCCATTGTGGGACAACTTTATTGGCAAGTCTTTTTTTTTTTTCCTTTACTTTTTTTAGTTGTAGTTGGATACAATATATTTATTTTTATGTGGTGCTGAGGATCAAACCCAGTGCCTCACACATGCAAGGCAGGCACTCCACCACTGAGCTACAGCCCCAGCCCCAGAACCTACTCAATTTTCACAGCAGCATTAAGAAGTACTCTTCTTCAGCCCCTGGCATCTGTTTTTAGGCTACTTATAGGTCTGAGTCCAGCAAATAAGGTTCAAGGCGACTTCATGCTCCTCCTCTGGGCCAGCCCCTCTCCCCTAGGAGAGGAGTATGTGTAGGTTTCTTGATCCCCTCTGAACCAGGCCAGACTAGGGTGTGTGGAGTTTTGTGTGGAGGAAGGAGGAGTATGGTGATTGGGTGGGTCATAAATTGTTGAAAGCCACAGCCAAGTCAGGATGGTGCCTGGCATTTTGCCAGAAGGAGTGGTTGAGAAGTAACGCCAGCGAGCCATTAAGATGATGATAATTAAGTTAAGCTGTGTATAATTATTAAGATAATGACTGATAGCTGTAACTGGATGATGCTAAATTGAAACAAGCTGTGTATTCAGTTGTGTATGTGGACCTCTGCTTTCCGGCAGTGGGGGCGGCTCCTGCTGCCTCGGGTGCCCACTACTTTTGAGTTCCCGCGGAGTTCCCGTTGGTTCTCTAGGAGTTTCCGTGGAGTTCTAGAGAGTTCCCGCAGGGTTCTGGCAATAAAGTAGTTCCTGTTTGAACCTACAAGTGGCTTGTGACCTCCCGGTTATTTTGTGCCCAGCCAGACTGCGGCAATAAATGACTTTTTTTTTTCTTTGTGGTACTGGGGATTGAACCCAGAGGCACTTTACCACTGAGCTATATCCCCAGCCCTTTCTATTTTTTTCTTTTGAGATAAGGTCACACTAATTTGTCTAGGGACTTACTTAGTTGCCTAGGCTGGCCTCAAACTTGTGATCTTCCTGTGACAGCCTTTCGAGTTGCTGGGATTATGTGCATGCACCACAGCACCTGGCTGGAGCTTGCTTATTTATTTATTTATTTAGTTAGTTATTTTGAGACAGAATCTTGCTAAATTTTCAAGGCTGGCCTTGAACTTGAAATCCTCCTGCTTCAGTTTCCTGAGCAGCTGGAATTACAGGCCTGCACTACTGGGCCTGGCTATAACTGCACTGCTTATTCCCCAAGATGCTAAGGGTCAAACCCAGGGCCTTGTGCATGTCAGGCAAGCATTCTATCACTGACCTACATCACCAGCCCAACTTCACTGAGCTATATCTGCAGCATTTTTTATATATTTTTTAAAAGGCTTTTTCTGACATTCTTGGTGGTCAGGGTGTTTCCAGGCAGCAAGGTCCCTGAGTTGTATCAATGGCTCTTCTCCGAGTTGTGAAATATCCATGTTTTTTTTTTTTCCTGGTAATGGGGACTGAACCCAGGGGTGCAAAGACACTGAGCCACATCCCCAGCCTTTTTTTTTTTTTTTTTTTTTTTTTTAATTTTGAGACATGGTCTCACTGAGTTGTTCAGGGCCTCACTAAATTGCTGAGGCTGACTTTGAATTTGTGATCCTTCTGCCTTATCCTCAAAAGCTGCTGAGATTATAGGCATGCACCACTAACACCACCAGCCCAACTTTTTAATGAAGGGATTGTGGGCATCAGGCAGGGGAGGTGTTTGGCTGAGTGCAGGTAAGTAAGAGGAAAGTGACGCTCAAGTCAGCTCAATATAAGGTAGTTGTATGGCTGTGTGTAATTTGGTGGAGTGTTTCTAGGATGTGAATTCTCAGATTTGTTTTAGAATCTCACTTCAGAATATAACATCTGTAAACAGACTGTGAAGTCTGTTAGCTGTTTAGAGATCCTATGTCTCAGGATTTTAGGTGTTTGAGAAGTTTGTGGGCCTCTGCCCTGGGATGTGAAATTTCTAAGCCATTTGGAAGCTATTTGCCCCAAGATGTGCAAACATTTTTTTCTTAAAATTAATTTTCTTTTTTTTTCAAGTTTTAAAACTTTTATTTGCATATTTAAAAAATTGTGCATTCCAATAAATAAAATCATTTGAACAAAAAAATGGCACTCTGATTAAATTGCATTTTACAGCCTGCAGGACACCTTGAAACAGCTTGGATCTTACTCTAGATTTCACCATCCTCCCACCCAATATCTTCCTTCACCAACATGCAAGTTCTTTTCTTTCTCTGCCAGCCAGACAGGTAGATGGGAGAGGCAGGCCTGGCCTTCCTTGTCAGTAGTTCTCGATTTTTTGATGTGAAAAGGGGCAGCACAGTCATTTCAACTTGATCCAACCTCTTTGCATCTTACAAAGTTAAACAGCTAAAAGAAATAAAATGAGGAGGCAATGCTTGTGGAATGTAGAGTGCATATTGGCGGTGCACGCCTCATTAAGATTCGCCTGCTTGCTTCTCCTGTTCAATCGTTTCTTTTGAAGGCAGAGGATTTTTCTCTTGGGTTTCTGTCTTCTTCAATTTCGACTTATTGAATTTCTCGATCTCAGCCATATCGGGTTTGTCAGACAGGGTTTCTGAGGAAGCGGAGCAAGACGCGTGAACGAGAGAAGTCTGGTCTGCGAAGTGACTGCCACCGAGTGTCTTAAAATTCATTTTCATTTTTGTTTTATTGGCATGTTTATGACTGCTAGAGATTTTTTCTAAAAATATTTTTTAGTTATCCATGGGCACGATATCTTTATTTTATTTTTTTGTGGTGCTGAGGATTAAACCCAGTGCCTGACATATTCGAGGCAAGCACTCTGTCACTGAGCCATAACCCCAGCCCTGCTAGAGATATTTAGCATCTGTGCTGGCGGGCAAAATTTATTTAAGTTTCATAAATTCTCTTTTCTGTCCTCTGATTATTTTTCCATTTTCAGGTTTTTTTTTTTTTTTTTTATTTTGGGTTGGGGATATAGCTCACCTGCTCATGTGCTTGCTTAGCATGCACAAGGCCCTGAGTTCAATCCCCAGTACCCCGAAAAAAAAAATCAATTTAAAAAAAAAATTTAAAATTATTCTAGATGTAAAGAAAGATTACAAAAACAGAGTACAAAGAATTGTTGTATAGCCTTGACCCAGTAACTGTAACAAAATACAGTTGGAGTTGGGGGGTACTTAAACAATAGAAATGTATAGTCTCATAGTTCTGGAGCTGGAAGTCCAAAATCAGGGTGTTGGCAGGGCTGGTTCCTTAGACAGGCTAAAAAGGAGGATCTGTTCCAGGCCTTTCTCTCATCTTTTGGTGGTTTGCTGGAAATCCTTGGCATTCATTCCTTGCCTTCAGGTGTGTCACCCCATCTCTGCCTTCCTCTTCACGTGGTATGGTATTCTCCTGTGTGTGTTTGAACTTTCCTTTTCTATAAAGTTACCAATCACATTGGACTACTCCAGTATAGTAGTGTTTTTAAAAAATATAATTAACACATAATAATTGTACAAATTAGTGGGATTCACCGTGATATTTCCATACATGTATGCAGCATGCAATGATCGTGCATGACTTTATTCAAACATAACTGACTATCCACAAAGACCTTGTTCCAAGTAAGGGTACATTCTGAGGTAGTGGGAGTTAGGATTTACACAGGCATTTTTAGAGGACACAGTTCCATACCTAACATGTTTAGCATGAGAAAAAAAAAAAGGGAAAGAAGGGAGCAAAGGAGCAGGCTGTGACATCTAGAAGCTGGCATGGCACCTGTAGCCTGGCCATGTCATTCTATTAGCCATAAATAATCTCATAGAGGGGCTGAGGCTGTAGCTTAGTGGTTGAGCATTTGCCTCAAATGTGTAAGGCACTGGGTTTGATCCTCAGCACCACATAAAAACAAATAAATAAAATAAAGATATTGTGTCCATGTATAACTAAAAAAAATTTAAAAAATAATTTCACAGAATACCTGCCTCAGAAGAGATTACTCTGAAGCTATTATAAAATGAGACAAACAAAACCTCCTTTATTTATTTATTTGTTTGTTTATTTATTTTGGTACTAGGAATTGGACCCAGGGGCACTTGGGTCTCACCAAGTTGCTATGACCTCACTAAATTGCCAAGGTTGGCCTCAAACTTACATCCTCCTGCCTCAGCTTCTCAAGTTGCTAGGATTATAGGCATGCACCACCACATTTGGCTTACAAAGCTCCTTTATAATGTCTAAGCATAGACACAAACAAGGACATTCTGTCACCCACAGGATACCAAACACTACCCCTACCTCAGTTAAAACAAGTGACTGTTACTTCTTTGGCAGTTGTAGCTCTAGGCTCGCTCTGGTCTTCCCCCTCCCTATAGGTTTTTATTTTTAATTTATTGTAGATGGACACAATACCTTTATTTTATTTATTATTATGCAGTGCTAAGAATCAAACCCAGAACCTCACACATGCTAGGCAAGCACCCTACCCACCCAGCTACAACACCAGCCCTCCTAAAGATATTTATTAGCATGCCTGCTGTGGCTGAATATGGTTCGTCTCCTGGAGTCTTCATTCCCAGTGTGATCTTATTGAGGTACTGGAATTTTTAAGAGGTTAAGCTTAGTGAAAGGTAATCAGGTTATGGGGGTGCCACCCTTGGAAGAGATTAATGCAGGTCTATGGCCTGGATTAGTTCCCTCAAGAGGGCTTTTATAGGGCTGGTGGTATAGCTCAGTGGTAGAGTACTTAGTTTACACAGGGTCCTGGGTTCCATTCCCAGAACTGCGATAGAGAGAGAGAGAGAGAGAGAGAGAGAGAGAGAGAGAGAGAGAGAGAGAAACTATTACAAGGGAGCTTGGCATCTCCATTGAATCTCTTCAGTGTTCATTGCTTGCCATTCTCATATATATTCTCAGCAAATGAAGCTATTTTCCATGAGACTCACTTGAGAACACAGGAGAGACTGGCGTCAGGTTTTTGAATATCCAGAATTGTAAACTAAATAAAACTTTGTTTTTATTTTATTTTATTTTATTTTTTGTGGTAGCTCAATCACTGAATGATATCCCTAGTCCAACCTTTTTTCTTTATAAAATATCCAACCTCAGGTATTTTGTTGTAGAATACAAAATAGGCTAAGATAATACCCAATCATAAATTGGCCTCATGTTATCATCCAATCTACAGAAAGGCCCTACTTTCTTAGACACCCCCCCCCCCCGCCCGCAAACTACTACACCAAAGTCCAGATCCTGTAATCAGTTCTAACACACTTGTACTGTGCCATTTCATGGTTTCCCCATGGCGTGCATCCTTCTTCGCTATAATGAGTATAATGATCATACCCAACATGTTCAACATGTTCTTGGGCGATTTTTGTCTAAAGGGGAGTGACAAGCAACATCCTTGGGTTTCTACCCACTAGATGGCGGTAGCACTGCCCCCTTACATTTGTGATATCCAAAATGCCCCAGATATTACCAAATGTTCCCTGAATGGGAAAAAAAAAAAAAAATTGCCTGTGGTCGAGAGTCACTGGTCTAGAATACCAAGGGTTACAACAGTTTAAGGGGTATTGTCTGAGGTTTGTGTTCTCTAAAAGGTATTTGAGTCTGTGTCTCAGTGTGTGGGCTCTCTAATCTGTCTCAGGGATTCTCTCCCACAGTTTGAAAGCTCTTGGGGGGGGATACTGTACTAGGAGTAAGTGAAATCCAAACATGAGGTACACATGGCACCCCCCCACTCATCCATGATATATGCCAGTTTAGAAAGATAGTGTGGGGATTCTGGGCTATTTCTCTATTCATGTCCAAAATGTGATGGTGACTGTTTGTTATCCTTAATTCCAGGGTGTGATGTCTCCAAGATACTTGGTGTTTTGGGGACCTGGATTTGAAGTTTCTGAGCTCTTTGGCAGTCTGTGTTCTGGATGTAAGATCACTGAGGTGTGTGGGAGTTTGTGTCTCAGGTTTTGCATCCCTGAACTCTTTGGAACACTGTGTACTGGTTTTATGTGTTCTCTTGAGTTATATAGATTTTTTAATCACAGGAAGAGACATCACCAAGGTAACTGGAATCTGCATCCAGGACAATAGGTATCAGAACAATTTGAACACTGAGTTCCTGGATACAATGTCTCTGATACATTTTAGGATCTGTGTCCAGATATTGATATTTCTATTTGAGGACAGGAATCTGTGTCCTAAGGTATCAGCTCTCTGAATTGTTTATGAATTTATATCCCAGAATAAGTGTTTTGGGGGCTGTCCATGGGTATCCCTGACATGATTATAGTTGAATATTGCAGTACATGATGTCTTTGTTCATGGGCTGTATGTCATCCTATGGGTTAGCTAAGCTCTCTCTCTCTCTCTGTCTCTCTCTCTCTCTGTGTGTGTGTGTGTGTGTGTGTGTGTGTGTGTCCAAGGTTGTGAAGTCTCTGATATGTTTGGGTCTGTATTTCTCAGGACAAAAGATACCTGACAGATACCTGACTCATTTGTGGGTATATATTCCAAACCGGGAATTCTTGGGTCTGTTAGGGGGTATACATGAGGTTTCTTCTCTGTTTGTAGGAATGTGCTCCACAATGTGAGGTCTCTGATTATCCTTCATTGTATGTCCTGGGACGTGAGGTCTTCTCATGGGTATATTTCAGGAGTATGATGTCTCCAACGTGCTTTTATGTCCTTGGGTGTTAGATCTCTGATCTATTTGTTGGTATATGTCCTAAGGTGTCAGGCTTCTAAGCCCTTTGTGGATTATACTCCTGGGTGCTATATTTCTGAGCTTTGGGGATTGTATTTTCTAGGCATGTGAGTACTCTGATCTGTTTGGTGTGTGTGTGTGTGTTTCATAACATGATTGCTATTCTGTCTAAGGGTTTATGTTCCAGGGTATCAGGTGCCTTCTCTGGCTTTGAGTATATATCTCTGGTTGTAGGTTATCTGAGACATTTGTGGTTGTACTTCCCATGATATGAGTTCCCCAAGCTCTTCTTTAATATATGTCCCAGAATGTGAGGTCTCAGACTTATTCCCAGCTGTCACTATATATGTCCCAATATGTGACTTATCTTTTCATGGATGTTTATCAAAAGTATGAGGTCTCTGGTATTTTTGTGGCTATAGGTACCAGGATATGAGGTCTCTGACCTGTTTGGGGGTAGATTTTACAGAGTGAGTTCTTAAGTCTGTTTGTGGCCATATGACCTCAGATGAAGGTCTCTGATCTCTTTGGGTGCATATGTCCCATGGTATGAAGTCCTGAGCTCTTGGTTGATATGTATGTAGAATCTGTTTAGTGATATATTTCTCAGAATCTGAGGTCTAAGGTCCTTTCACCGATGTATACTAATATGTGAAGCTGTCTTCAATGGTTAATGTCAAGGTCAGATTGTGGGTATATTTCCTAGGGTGTGAGGTCTCTGATCTGTTTCTGAGTGTTTGTCCCAGACTGAGAAATATGATCTGTTTGTCTACATATGACTCTATATGTAAGGTCTTTGATCTGTTTTTTGATATACTGAGAGTTTGAGGTCTTCCCTCTCTTTATGGTTATAATCCTCAGGTATGCTGACTATGTTGTGTTTGTGGCTTTATGTCCCAGAATTTTAGGATTTGGGGCTGTTCCTGTAAGTTTGTCCAAGGATGTGAGATCTTTAATCTGTTGGTGAGTGTATATCCCAGGATTTGAGGATAAGATCTCTGATCTGATTTATTTTGGATATGTTTAATAGAATGGGTTCTGATATGTTTGTGGGTGTATGCCCCAGAGTGTGAGGTCACTGATCTGCTTGTGCAGGTATGTCCCAGGATTTAAGGTCTGATATGCCTGTCACTATAATTACCAGTGTGTGATATGTCTTTCATGAGTATATGCCAAGAATAGAAGTTCTCCGATATGGTTATGATTGTATGAACCTGTGTTTGAGGTCTCTTATCTGTAAGCAGGTATGTGTCTCAGTGTGTGAAGTCTATTTTGGGTACATACCCCACAGAATGTGAAGTC